AATAAAAATATCTTGCATTCTTCTGCCCTCCTCATTACTCATTTCTATGCTATGAGGTGAAAACATTAGAGACGGATATTTTCAAAACACCAAACAACCTCTGTTGCCATCAAGTCAATTCCAGTTCACCTCAACCCCACAGGACAGTGTAGCACTGCTCATCGGGTTTCAAGGCTACAGTCTTTACAGAAGCAGACTGTACACGGTCACTGGATCAGAACCACTGACCTTGAGGTATTAGCATACAGTGTGCAGTGTTTCACCACTGACCCACCAGGGCTCCTTCAGAGGAGGGAATTCCACCAGCTTTCTGAGGCTGCAGATCACACAGGAGGAGACCAGCTGTCTTTCTCACAAGCAGCTATGGGTGCAGTCAAGCCTCCAGAGAGGTACCACACAACTCCCAGCAGCGTAGCCCACAGTTTCCTTGTTCCAAAAACAGGATTAAGTTAAGAGACGGGTCATGCAAAGAGGTTATCACTTCATTTTTAGCCCAGGTGGGAACACAGACCTGATGCGTTTACTACTGGGCTGAAACCACAAGAGACCTTGGCTTCAATATGTCTTGTTGATGAATTAAAAAAGAAAAAAAAGAACAGAGTGAGAAATGCCGGCTCAGAAAGCAGATCAAAGAACACAGCCTCGTAAGGCCCCGGAGTCCCTTCATCGGTGGAGATCCTCTGTCCATCTAAAAGCAAAACACCGGACCCACAGCCATTGAGCCAATTAATTCCAAATCATAACGACCCTTTGAGAAAGAGGAGATTCGCCCCACAGGGTTTCCAAAAAGTGCTCATCCGCTTTGCCCCCTGGGTTCCTTCCAGGGTGGGAATGACCACAGTCCTTCTTTCCCTCTCTCTGTCTCTGTCCTCTTTCTCTCTCTTTGACATCACAGGTAAGCACCTGAGACCTGATACTAGCCATACTGATGCTGCCATGGAACTTAAGAAATTATAACACACACACACACACACACACATACACACAGAGTCAAATAATCTAAACTCCCTGCAGGACATTTCAATCCAAAGACTTCAGTGACTTCTTCAACAGCACAGAGCAACAACCTAGTCAGGACCAGAACATGGGTCTCCTGCCCCCCAGGCCAGAGCTCCTTCTACTATTCCAGGGGTTCGCAGCTGGCCAGGGAGAGCAAGTGAGCTGGGGCGAGCGTGCGACTTTGAGTTTAAACAGGGAGCTCACACACTAGTTCTTCCCCCGCCGCATGACTTCTGGAGCCGCTTTTCACCTGGAGCTCCTTTTCTTCAAGTGTAAAGTAGGGATGTGACGCGAGAACCCATCTCATCAGACTGGTGAGGGAGCCCAGGGAGAGAATTCATCTAATACAGGGCTGAGATATTGAGGTGAATTCCTCATAATCAGAGAAACAATCTGCATGGGTTATTAAAAAATGCAGTCCGCACTTCAGAAAATCCTTGGGTGGGATAAATCATCTGGTTATATAGCCAACATGGGCTTCAAAGGAGCCCGGCAGCACAGTGAGTGATGTATTGGACAGCTAACAGAAAGGTCAGCAGCTCGAGTACATCAGCTCCTCTTTGACAGAAAGATGGGCGAGCTCTAACCAAAAGGGCATGGAAACCCAACGGAGGGTCACTAGAAGTCAGATTAAACTCACCGGCAGTTGGCTAGGTGTTATTAGGTGATGTGTATAATGGAGTCATTTTCCCCCTATTAATTCAAAATCCAAAACCAATCTAGATCAAGTCAACCAAGGTGCAGAGATCCAGAGGAAAAAATATGCTAGAAGGTAGTTGTTGTTGTTGTAGTTGTTGTTGTTAGGTGCCGTCAAGTCGAGTATGACTCATAGCAATTCCATGAACTCTGTCACATCCAGTGCCATCTTCACACTTCCAGATGCATTAACTACCAAGTCAATTGTGGACCCAAGAAAGATGATAAGACTCTCAAAAAAACCTCACTGCCATTATGTTAGAACCAACTCATAGCCAACCCTCCAGGGAGGTGCTGAGATTGTAAACTACACAGGGCATTGCCCAGCTATCTCCCACAAAGCAGTTGGTGGATTTGAATCATAAACCATCTGGTTATCAGCTCAACACATATGCCACCAGGAACGCTATTACAAATGAGATACTCTAATAACTAACAAAGGACAAGATTTATTTGTCCAGATAACCGCTTATGCACTTCAGTGCAAGGGACTTATGAATAAGAACCATGAATAATTCAGGTCTCCCAGCAAGCATCTCTCCCAGAGAATATAAAGTAAAAAGCAAGTGAAATAGATTTTTGCCTTTGAAAAGGGCTTTCCAGGTGCCGTTTCAACAAACCAGATTCAGAATTTACTACTTTGAAAGTCTTACCTCCTTCTGCCTCATTTCTAACTCAGCTGTCTCTCATGAAACAGAAGTAACAGAATTGTGAGGAAAATGCCAACAGATAGTTGCTGGTAGGTGCCACTGAGTCGACCACAACCCACGGACATCCTATGAACAACGGGGTTCTTGGATCTTGCCCTACGCTGTGCCGTCTTCACCGTCTCTGAAATGCTGGACCCCGTTGTTCCAGTCATTGTGTCAGTTCACTTTGTCGAGGATCTTCCTTTCTTCCTCTGACCTTTAATCTTTTCCAGACACTGGGTTCTCCTCACAACACACCCAAAGTATACAACCCAGAGTCTCACCATCCTTGCCTCTGAGGAGCGCCCTGGTTGCACGTCCTCAGGGCAGATTTGTTTGTTCTTTGGGCAGTACATGGAATACTCTATAATTCACCAAGTCCTCAAGATTCTAGTTAAATAG